ATGTCGTAAATCTTTAATATTTCAAACTTATATTATTTGATCTAACAGAATTCATAGTTTGAAATATCTAAGGTCTACGACATTGGAATCCAAAGATATAGGATTTAGAAAAGCAGAGTTTGTGGCAAAGACTCAATTCCTTTTGTGAAAAAAGAGAAGCTTTAAAAATATTTCAGTTACGTGTAATCAGGATTCAAAAAGGAAATAACATTTCTTTTCCTGTTCATTAAACAATAATTGAATGTACAGAGTAGTAGATGAATCAGAATAGGGAGGGGTCGGGAAGGGGGGGGGGGGTAGGAGTGTCTGAGTTTAGAATATAGAAGGAACTAAAAGCTAGGGATTCACATAATTTATGAATCTGAAGAACTGTAGAAAAGCATTATGTAGGATCACAGAAAATAGAGGAATCTATAAAACTTGGAAAAAGACCTAGAAAACCAGAGAATAAGAGAGGAATCTATAAAATTGGAAAAAAGAATAAAAAACCAGAAAACCAGAGAATAAGAGAGGAATCTATAAAATTGGAAAAAGGAATAGAAAACCAGAAAATCAGAGATTAAGAGAGGAATCTATGGAACTTGGAAAAAGACCTAGAAAAACAGAAAATCAGAGAATAAGAGAGGAATCTATAAAATTGGAAAAAGGAATAGAGAACTAGAAATCAGAGAATAAGAGAGGAATCTATAAAATTGGAAAAAGGAATAGAGAACTAGAAATCAGAGAATAAGAGAGGAATATATAAAACTGGAAAAAGACCTTGAAAACCAGAGAATAAGAGAGGAATATATAAAACTGGAAAAAGGAATAGAGAACAGAAAATCAGAAAATAAGAGAGGAATCTATAAAATTGGAAAAAGGAATAGAGAACTAGAAAATCAGAGAATAAGAGAGGAATATATAAAACTGGAAAAAGACCTAGAAAACCAGAGAATAAGAGAGGAATATATAAAACTGGAAAAAGGAATCGAGAACAGAAAATCAGAAAATAAGAGAGGAATCTATAAAACTGGAAAAATGACTAGAGAACTTTGTGTCCAGTAAACGTCAAAACGGCTGAACCGATAAACCCTCACATTTTTTGTGGCAACTCACATGACTCCAGGGAAGGTTTATGGATAGTCATAATTAAAAATATTTGCCCTAAAAAATTGTCTATTTTTTAAAGTCCACGTAAAAAACGATAAAAGAGCAACAATTAAAAGTTAAAATCGAAGATGGACGCGGAGCGCCCTGGAAACCTAGTAATTAAAAAAAATGAGAGAACAAAGAAAACAAGAGAACTGTACAAATGACTCTGTAATCCCGTTAAATTAAAGAACTTTTAAGCGCCAGATAAGAAGAATTCTGTGTATGTGTCTGTGTAAAGAATATTTTTCTCCTGTGTTCAATGTTGCTAGGTGAGCGGAGCAGAGTAAAGTTTTGGCGGGATACCTGAACCTGAATCCGTCCTACTCCTACCTTGACCCATTTTAAACCGGGAAACTGGAACTTGCTGTCGTTTGTGCCCCAGGCACTTTTTGAGGACCTTCAGCAGCTTTAAGGTTTTAAAAATGATCATCTTAAAGGGACTGTAAGCGTAATTTCAAGTGACCACCAATTCAAAGATGGCAATGACCGATTTACAACGGTACCCTTAAAAGCTTTATCTAATCACGTATGGTTTCAATGTTTACAAACAGATTATTTTCTTTTTTGTTTTTTTACAAAAGTGACTTACGCATTTCTATATTGCCGGATAACGTTTAGAAATTATCAGATTTAAACACTTTTGAGCCTACTATAACGACATCATCCACATCAAGGGCATCGTTATGTCTTTGCATGGAGGGTCCCTTGACATTACTCTCAGAGAGTCCCTATATATAAATGACGAATGTTTAAAAATTGGTTCTTAAACAAAGAAATATGAAAAGTTTAGTTGTCGGAGAAATAATAAATCAATTACTAAAGTTCATTTTCCTTTAAAATGAAAGTAGATTTTTATTCAACCATTCAACAAGCTCTTATTTATAAATCCCTATATTTTCGCAACCCAAGGTTGTAGACCTTTGATATTTTAAACAATAAATTCCATTAGATTAGATAGTTTAACTTTGAAATATCAAATGTTTGAACTATTAGATGATAAAGATATGGGGATGAGAAAATTTGAGTTTGATGCATAAACTCGTGTTTTTTGTCTTAACATTTTAGATAATTTTTCTTATCCAAACACTGTGCATGAGTATTTAAGCTAAATGCAAAATGTTTGAATGTTATAAGATATTGTATAGATTTTGCTCAGGATATATCTGTTATATATCAGACATTTTGTAGATTGTACTTAAAATATATTCAAACATTCAGTAGATTTTGCTAGAATTATATCGACATTTTGTAGTTTGTATTAAGAATATATTCAGACATTCAGTAGATTTTGCTTAGGATATATCCATAGACATTTTGTAGATTATATTAGGAATATATTCAGACATTCAGTAGATTTTGCTCAGGATTATATTGACATTTAATAGATTTTGCTAAGATTAAATTGACATTTTGTAAATACTAATAATAATCAACGTTTTGCAGAAGAATTTATACGAACATTCAGGTAGGGTTAAATCCCGACATTTAGTAGATTTTACTATTAGGAATATTTACAGACATTTTTTATCACCCTGTAAACCTAATATCCGGACACCCTGTAGAATCCCTGAGGGTTGAGAGCCCTGCTTTCAGCATTATCTCCCATGGAATCTAGGGTTCATTCTGATAGGGGAGGGGTTAAGGTGGGAGGAAGGATGGGTGGGTGCTTCCAAGGGAATGAGGGGGGTGGGAACTACTAATCTCTAGCCTACATTCACTGAAGAAAAGAGAAGGTTTACCTGCAAACATCATATTATACATATATATATACCAGACTACCTAGGCGCAACTAGTGGGGTGGGGGGTATCCTACCCCTCATACCTGGGTTCCTAGTGAAATTGAGAACCCCCCAAAATTTAACAATCATGATTTTTGAAAGTGTTAAAAACCCAATAACGTTCGATTTACAATTATATAAGATCAAAGATTTTTATTTTTTTAAATAACATTTTTAAATATTTTATATCTAAATTATTCTGTTTCAACAATTAGCAACGAAAACTAGTCTGAACCTTGATACCGTTGATACCGTGCAGATAGAGAATATTTTGATCGAAAGAATAAACGTATTCCCTAAAGCGGGAAAACTGAAAGAATTTTTTATTTTATTGAGTAAAGCGGCCCAGTCCCCTGGCGGATCACAGAGAAGTAATAGAAGTAAAAAGAAATTAGTTTTTCTTATTTGGTAAATTCAAGAAAAAATGTAATCAAACAGTTTATAATACACTTTATAAAAATAGAAAACTTTTATGACGACTGGTTCTTTTTATTCAACTTTGAAGAGGGTGTTCCTTATATCGGAACTAAACAGTAAATGGAAAAACGCGAAAAAAGGAAGTATGTAAAGGCTGAGAGCTGTGATCGCAGTTAGATTTGCAATTTCAGCCTTTCGTTTAATTTTTCGCAGACAAATCCTTTAAATCTGAAATTCAAATTGTAACCTTAAAATCACGCTTTGAAACAATTCCAAATTTTAAAAGTTGAATAGTTTAACTACGTAGACTAAGTTGAACTGGTTATAGTGTTTCGACTGAAGTCTCCGTAATTCAAATGCTCGCTTTTCATTAAACAAATTGAGCATTTGCCAAAAACCCCAATTTTATAATCCCTATTTCATATAACTATGCAGCCCTATGTGGTAGACCTTAGATATTTCAAACTATGAGTTCTGTTAGATAAAATAGTCTAAGTTTGGATTATCAAAGGTTTAATCCATCAGATTGCAAAGATAAAGGTATTATAAAATTTTAGTCTAAAGCAAGGATTCCTTTATCTTTTTTTCATGCGTAACTTTGAAATAATTGGAATTTTCAGTGAATAAAATTAAATAGATAAATCGTGTTCTTAAATCTAATGTGAAGTTTTCGTTGACCAAACTGGTCAGAAGTGACATCTTCTATCACTAGAAGTATGGTACTTGAACATCACAAGTTTACTGGAAAATGACAGGATTGAAAATATGTCACGATTAATAAAACAGTTTAATTTTTAGATTTATTTATCAAGCGAAGGAGGTTACAAAATTGTGTGCAAGTTTATATATTTTTACTTACACGCGAATGTACATATTTTAAGGGTGCAAATGTCCAGTCTGCTGTACATAATATGTACAGAAGCCTGGCAGTACGAATGTATAATTGCTTACATAAATGATAACACTGGTACAGTGGTAATGCCTGAAAGGGTTTCTAAACACAGAATGAATAAGTGGATGCAGGCAGACAACAAGACAAACTTTCAGATTTATAGTAAAATATCTCGAATTGAATACAATTTAGAATTTTCCAGATTTATATGGAATCACTAGCGTATCTATACTTCAAGTATTTCTAGAAATACCATATATATCTAGAAATATCGAGATGTAAAGAAATACTAAAAATATCTAGGAATGACAAGACATATCCAGACATGATTTCATAGTTGATATTTTCAACAAAGCAAATAAATCTAGATATATCTGTTTAGATAAAGTCTAGAATACTAGGTAAGTCAAAAAATCAGTTAAAATTTAATCTAATTGAAAGTTTGACTGAAAAATATGATATTTACAAAGTACGTATACATAAACTATAACAAGTGCCATGTACACTTTACATTGTTCCGTGTACAAGTGTAAAGTTACATTGACCCTCCTAGCGGTTGACACGTCGAAGGGTCGGAGGTCGAAACTTCAGTATAGTTAATCCGTTCACAAAGCACTGATCTGCATCTTTCGAAACACAAGATCCGACCAATCAGAAGCCAGTCCAGACGTGGTAGAACAGCGGTATTTAATACAAAGTTACGACCTTAAGATTGATATTACTGCAGTTGTAAATAAGCTGCCAGAATAATACTTGAATATATAATATTGGAAGGATTGTTAACGTTTAGTTCAATAATAATTTCTATCTAAAGGTTAGAATACAGAATACATGGATTACATAATGAATATAGAAGAGTGTAGAACGTGATTGTGTACAGTATATTGAATGTCCGAAGGGAGGATAAACCAACTATTTGTGAGACCGAATACCCGTGAAATTGTATAGGAAGTTGGAATAGGGGGAGTTCAGGGGTGAGATATATAGTATATACAGAAGTGTACTGGGAAACAGGGGTGCCTAATCTAAGTTTGGAAGAAATAAACTCAAATTTTCTAATCCCTATGTCATTGTAACCTGATTTTATATTTCAAACTTAAGGCTATTTGATCTAACAGAATTCATAGTTTGTAATAAATTCTAACATTTACGCAATTTGTTGTTATGATTTATGGATTAGAAACTCAAAGTTTGTGGCTACGACTCTGTTCCTTTTTCAAGAGTACGCCTGACTCCCCCCCTTCTCCAGCATCTTAACCTTGATGAAGAGAGAACAAAGTTTAAACTTAAACTTTAAAATTTCAAGCATCGAGTTTAAATACCTGGCTTAATTACAAACTTGAACTCACTCCAGCGGTTAACACAACAAACAACGAGTATTAAGAAACCAAAAAGTGTCCAAACATAATTGGACAGAAAAACATTTCGAAAAAAAACGTGGGTTTCTTGACTAATGCTGAAATATATTTATTCCCGGGTTGTTGAATCAACTTTACTGTGAAGAGGCAACAAGGCCAAGATCTGTAGGTTCAGGATGAATACTCGAATATTCACAAAGTTTATAATAGTCCTCCACCAAGTTAGAGTTAGTGTCTAAAAGTTGGTTGGATCTAGGGACTAGGTCTCCAAACTTCCAACTAATCTTCATGTATGAAGCTAACAGCTAACCCATTATCTAGTATTCCTCACTACAGAACAGTGGTCGAACAGAGTTTTTTTTTGACAAATGAAGTTCACTGGTTCTTTAGGTAGAGTACTAGTTGTGTAGCCCTGACAATGTTGAGCTGATACTAGAGTTTACTTGAGGTTTTATCCCAGCTTCAGGAGGTTCAGGGATCAAGGTTTGATCCCGGATACTGGAGGTTTAGGGATCTTGGTTTGATCCCAGATACTAGTTTAAGGATCTAGGTTTGATCCCTGATACTAGAGGTTCAGGGATCTAGGTTTGATCCCTGATAAATACTGACGAGCATGTTCGGTCATCTCTATACTAGGTTTCGTCTTCCCACAAGCAATCATGTTCCACCTTACATCCAACTATAATATATTTATATCATTAGTTTAGGATGGAGAATATACATGGCGTGCTAAACACAATCAAAAGAACATTAAAAGATTGCTAGATTTATTCTCTAGAGTATTCAGTTGGTCTTAACTCTCATTAGTCAATGCACGAGGGAGTGGTTAAGAAAAAAGGGAGTGGTTAAGAGAGAAAAGGGAGTGGTTAACAGAGAAAGGGGAGAAGTTAAGAGAGAAAATAGAGCGGTTTGCGGGATTTTTGAGAAATATTTGAATATATATGAAATAATAAAGGCGTCAATATTTGGATAAGTATGTATTTAAGCAGTGCTTAGGATCCGGATCCGTTGGATCCGCAAGATTTTGGCTTCCTCGATCCGGATCCGCAAAAATATGCGGATCCACGGATCCGGATCCAAGGGGTAAAATATTAACCAAAAACTGCAAAAAAGCCTTTTTTTTACTTCTAAATCCAAAATCTGACCTTTGGAAAAAAAGAGAGATTGTAAAAATTTCCTCATTTCTGAATGATTCATCGAGTTTTAGGATAAAAATGTGCGAAAAAAATAAAACAAAATATTCAAAATTATTTTTTGTTAAAAAGATTCAGTAAATCTTATAGAAATGACCTGGATCCGGATCCGGATCCATTTTTTTCCAGTGCGGATCCAGGTTGAAGAAAGTGAACGGACCGGATGAGAAGGTTGAAAGAAGTGAATGGATGGGATGAAAGAAGTGATTTAACCGGATGAAGGAATTGAATAGACCGGATGAAGGGAGTGTCTGGACCAGATAAGGATGAAGGAAGTTAATGGACCGCGGCCGGATGAAAGAAAGGAGTGAATGGACAGAATGAGAAGGATGAAGGAAGTGAATGAACCGGATGAGAAGGACGAAGGAATTAAATGGACCGTATGAAGGAAGTGAATGGACCGGATGAGAAAGCACCGAGTTTTAATGGTCTCACGCTCTCAAGCTTAAATTGAGAATTTTGCCAATTACTTCTAAAAAACCAAAGCTAACAAAAATTGCGTTACAGTGCTAAAATGAACATGTAAAGGACTACAGAAAAGCATAAGTGAGTTAAGAGCGGCAAAATCTAAGCTTAGGGAGTTGCGACACTTTAAAGTCAACCCTGTCTTAAAAATTGATGAGACTGTTTATAAGCAGGATGAATCTATGTGAAGGATGAAGGACGTGAATGGACCGTATGAGAAGGATGAAGGACGTGAATGGACCGTATGAGAAGGAATTGAATGAACCGGATGAAAAGGATGAAGGACGTGAATGGGACCGTATGAGAAGGATGAAGGAAGTGAATGAACCGGATGAGAAGGATAAAGGATGTGAATGGAACGGATGAAGGAAGTGAATGGACCAGATGAGAAGGTCAATATAAAATATCCCTTAAATATCTCATAAATTCCAACCTTAGAAGTCGGAGGAGATTTCTCGTCTGAGCTGGATTGCAGGAGAGGGTTCATGTTGGGAGGATCTGGTAAAGTTTCCTGAACAAATATATCTTATACTTAAACTTCAGTGTTATAGAAACATTCAACACAAATATTTTATTGGCAGCAACAGTGGTTAATTTTTGGCGCTACCCGGATCCATATCAACGTTTCCTGATACGGATCCGGATCCGAAACGCTGATTTTATGACGTATAGAGCCACATGCGTGTGCGCGATAAATTATTATTTTGAATTTTATGTAAATAGCAGGGTAGGATGTTAGGAGTAGGTTAATTACCTTGAGTATGGATGGAGGACTGAAGAGCATGGAGCTGGAGGAATCTGTTCCTAGGAGGGATTTACTCGGAGTCTCCGGGTTTATTAAAGACTGATCTCCGGCAGATCCAAACATCATATTGGAGAGGGTTGCAGGGGTAGACCATCTTGCAGCTAGAGCCTTCCTTGCTCCCTGGATAAAAAGGGTTAGATCTTTAAAAGTGTGCCCCCCTCTCACTCCCTGAATTTGGATTAAAGGGTAATATTAATACAACTTTACTCCCCCCCTGAAGAAAGAGGGTAATCAAAGTGCATTATACTGTAAGAAAAAGAGGAATGGGTTTCCGCAAAATTGAACAAAAATGATATTAACTTTCAAATAAGAAAAAGAAACGAAATATATCTATGTATTATATCCTTTCTTGCGGAATCGAGTACGTTTACAGGATTTATGCTTTTAGGATGTGAACTTGTAAGACGAAAATATTATTTCACATTATATACTGTAGTAACTCACTCTCTTGTGTGGACTTGAATTCTCCTTGTCTCCTCCGTCCTCACTCAATCTGCCGTTATAATTTCTCTTATCCGTCCCACCATATCCACTGTCTTGAAGTGTCTAAAATATTTAGTTTTAGAATATATTTTTTGGTTTACCATTTTTTGTTTTGTTATTGATTTGTTTGTTAAGAGCCCCCTATATGTTCTAGCTATTTTTGGTTTTGTTATTGATTTGTTTGTTAACAGCTCCATTATATGTTCTAGCTATAAATCTAATCTATTTGGCTCAGCCGTTTAGAAATAAAAAATGTACAAAACAAGCGCAACCTTTTGTTTTCTCTCACCTGATGGTCTCCGGAGTTGTTAAAACTATCCGTAAAGTCCTGCATATCCTTCTTAATAATCTCCGTAATATCTTCCACCCGTTTGTTGGGTGTCTGGGGGGTGTTGGAGAGCGGTTCCCTGCCCCTGTACACCTCGGCCAGCGCTCTCTTAAACGGGGTTGGAGTCCGCGGAGCTTCAGTGTTCCGGGTCTGATTCCGTTCAGGGGAAAATTTCTGTATTTTAGGAGTACTGTGAGCTGACATATCTGTGACCAAGGTTGGGGTAGTGAGAAGGGAACCCTGCTGCTGGGGTTTCATGTGGGACAAAGGCGTGGACTGTGACAAGAGGTTTAAGGAGGACGCAGCGTTTACTAAACCAGAATGGGTTGGGGTTGAAGTCAAGCTGCCGGTCATATCAAAGGATAGATTTGGACTCTGAAGAAACTGAAAATAAAACAAACTGTAATTAAAATACTTAAACTACCGACTAACGATACAATATTTTTACCCGATTTTTTTCAATAAAATATGTTAACTTAACAACAGAGATACATCTAAATCTATTGTTTATTTTCATGAAACATTAGTACCCAGTTTTTATCTCCTTTGAGAAGGAGTTGTTAGTTAACTTTATTTGAATTTTACACTAAGCTGTGAAACAAGATTAAATCTTAGCATATTAATGTTAATAGACAATACACAAGCATTATACTCCCGAGCAGGTTCAGGATAAAAGCACCGTCTCTTTATTTAAAGCAAACCCTAGACGACACCTTCTACCTTGGAGGGTGAAAACGGAAGAAATTTGACCGGGGTTAATGGTAAACTTCCAGAAGATGAGTCCAGGTAGTCCTGGGATATGCACAGAGTACAATGTACATAATTTCTTTAATATTAACTTTTCATAATTCCCTAGCTTGTATTTGTGGAGAAAACCAATTTTAAAAATAAAAATTTTAAAAATTCAAGAAAGCGTTCTCCCGTCAGAACAAAGATGATATGTTGGATGTATTTCAGAAAATTTAAGCGAAGGTTAGTTCATATTGAGAAAGGAGAAAAGAAATGCAGAATTAAACTTAAAAAAACTACCTCGTGATCGTCCGCCTCCCTTTTCCGAGCCCTCCGCCGTAAAATTGGCGGAGTCGAAGATATGTTGTGTGAACTATGCTCGTCGTTCGAGTCCATAGAGTTCCAAGTATCTTGTTCTACCTTGATAGGTCGAACCTGACCATGAAGGGGTAGAGGAGTTACTCCTAACCCGCCGTAGTGTAAATCATAATCCAAATCATTCAAATATCTAAACAAAACATATACAATGAAAACTTCGCAATAAAGCATATAAAGTTTAAGTATAAATCTCTAAACTTTAAACTTACTTAAGAGGAGAGAAAAGATGTTGAAACTCCGGATCCTCCTGTTGATGTTGATGATGTTGCTGCTGTTGTTGTTGATGCTGATGATGCTGTTGATGATGATGCGGTGGTGTGTTCTCGTTGTAATTATGATCAGGTAGAAGAGGATCAATAGGTTCTACCTTGAAGGTTTCCTGTTTAAACACCTGGTTGGACCACTGGACCGTCTCCTGTTGCTGCTGCTGCTGTTGTTGTTGTTGCTGGTTGTAGACCGGAGGGTTCCAGGTTGACATTGGAGCCCGGTGATACTGGGGTTGATGAGGATATCCAACCTGATGGGAGCCTCCCATGATGGTGTACTGCTGCATAGACTGTCCGACCGCGTTCCCGTAAAGAGAAGATACATCCTTCCTCGCCATTCCTCCCTGGGGTATCAGGGTTCCCCCTATCACAGTTGAATTTACGGAAACCCTGATTCCGGAAGATTTTCTGGGTTTCCGAGCACTCTTTCCGCCAGAATCCGTAAGTCCGTCCTGCTCCTCATATTTTCTTTTCATCGTGCTATTCCAGTGATTCTTAATCGCATTATCCGTTCTTCCAGGGATAAGTTTAGCAATCTTAGCCCACTGATTCCCCCACTGTTTGTGAGCATTGAATATAATTCTATCCTGAAATACAGAGAAAATAAATCTGATTCTTTATTAGATTTGTCCAGAAAGAAACCTAATACAAGGGTTATTAAGGAAACGTTATTGAAAATGTGGAGATAAGCAAATATAAAAGAGAAAGGAAAATACAAGCATGAAATCTTATTTATTACATTTTTTTTTTTATCAATCTGGAGTAAATATCAATTTTTGATTAGACCTACCTCCTCTTCTGTCCAAGCTGTTTTCTTTATCTCCGGATTAAGATGATTATGCCACCGTTCACGACACTGCTTCCCAATACGTCCCTTTAGCTGCTTAGCTATTAAGGTCCATCGTTTAGGACCGTATTTTTTAACAAGTTCTATCACTTTTTCATCCTCCTCTTTGGTCCAAGGCCCTGGAAAGAAAAATATGTTTATAACAGTTTTGAAATCGACCAGAGCAAAAAATTTAGAATGGGATATCCTTATTCCCGATCCCTTAATATGAGTATCCGATGTACACACTTTTGATTTTCTTCTTAATCCTCTTTTTTGGATATCCCTAGTGAATAAAAGTTACGTTTGATAACAATTACAGTTACGATGGTTTATAGTTTAAACTTAAATCCGGACTGAAGTCAGCTGTTTAAATGCCAACTTTTAGAGCATTTAAACATATATATTTAATCATGTTAATATGAACTTATTAAAAAATATTTGAGGACTATAGCCATTTTGAACGTTAGTCTTCAAAAACATCAATCCAAAACTTACGTTCGTTTAATCGATCATTAGTTCAATTGATATGACACCAAAATGCGCAAAAATTTAAAACAGTTTTTTCATAAGTTAAAAAGTGCATCTCTAATCACTAGAAATTAATCTAAAGACTAAATTAGTCTTGATATTAGCAAAAAGAGAGGATCAAGCATTGATCTCGATATCCACCATTCTAAAGTTTTCAGCACAGAGCTTATAAATCGAGTTTTTTTATAAGTAATTTTGTTAAAAAATTGTTACTTGTGAGTAGAGGGGGGNGTCATATAACTTACCTTTGACTAGTTCTGGATTGACAACCTTCTGCCATCTATGCTGGCACTGAACGTCTGCCCGGTCAGGAAAATGACTGGCGATGAAGTCCCACCGTTCTCCATTAATCTCAACTAATCGTTTCAATTTTTCATCTTCTTCCTTATTCCATCTTCCTCGATTTATATGTTTCTTTCCCGCATACTGAGCTAGGTCAGGTCCACCTAATAACAAAACATATACGTTAATCAAAAATAAAAACCAAAAACATGGTTCAGAGTAAATTGTCGAAAAAAATATTATACATATACTTGTTGTCAACCCCTATTATCAATACAAAAGGGAATACATTTTTTGTTAAAAAAGTGTACAGCTAGAGAGAGAGAAATAAATAACTACATCTAGGAACACACATGAAAGTATACAAGTACAATGTGTGGGATAAACTAAGAAGTTCAGAACTATACAATGTTTGAAGAAGTACATAAGTTAGAATTAGAAATGAGGAAGTAATGCGTTACGTTATATAATTAAATAAGTAAAGAGAAAGAAATGATAGATATAGAAGTTCAGGATTAGAGATAAGTAAAGAAGTTCAGGGTTAAAGATAGATAAAAAAATTCGGGATTAGAAGTACAGTGTTTGAGATAAAAGGTAAAGAGTTAAATCTGAAAGCCCCCCCCCCCCCATATGAAGGGCACGATTTAAGATAAATAAGGAAATATAAAGGGTTATGGTTACGCTAGGAAGTTAAATGATTAAGAATTAAAATTAAGTTTGAGACTAGAGGTTCACAGAGCAGAAGAGGATATGGGGATTTATGAACTGTACCACAAAACTCCAATTTTCAAAATCCCTTTATTTTTGCAACCTGATGGTGTAAATCTTTGACATTCAAAACTTAGGATAATAGATTTCAGAATTTGATAGTAAGAAATGTTTAAGATTGGTTACATCTGGTAAAAGATTGTAAAATTTGAGTTTGTGGTAAAGGCTCAATTCTTTTCGGTTTAAGGATTCTCAGATAAGCAGTATAAATTTAGGTTCAATGGAGAAGTTTATGTTTCTAGCCTTAAAGGGCGCTTCGCGCCCATCTTCTAAATCTATTGTGAACATGTTCTCTTTGTGTACATCGTAAAACAAAACAAAAATAATTCGCGGATTTTCACAAAGAATTTCGTGGATTTTCAAAATTTTCAAAAATTTAATGAAGATCGAATTTTGATGGAGACAAATAGTTGAAATTTTAATCATTCATAAACCTTCCCTGTGGTCACGTGACAAAAAATTTGGGCCCGATCGGTTCAACCGTTTTGACGTTTATTGGATACAAACAAACAAACAAACAAACAGACAGACAGACAGACAAGCCAAATTTATATATAGAAAGGGATTAAAAGAGCATTTTATATTGTTTAAAGAATTAAGGGAGAAGTTCAAAGATAGGGATCAGGGAAAAAGGTAATGTAAACGTTTGGCTTTGCATTTAGAGGCTTTATTCTTTATGGACTTATTTTTTAAACAAAGGAATTTATTGATTAATCCTCACCCGCTAACTGTAAATTTTCATCTATTCTTTGCAACCTCAAGATGAAAATTCTTGATTTATCAAACATCATTTTATTTTCCAGTGAACAGAATTCTTCGCTTACTGTTTCAAGTTGAAATGGTTAAAATCATATTTTTTTGCAAATAAAATTATGTATGTGATAGTCCGTCCTTTTTTCAGCAATTTCAGCAAATATTTTAAGTTAAGACAACTGCTGGGCCGAGCGCTGCGTCTTGGACAGGCTAGGGGGCCGAGCACCGGGGCTAGGACAGGATAGGTGGGACGGGTGCTACGGCCACATCACCAATTATATCCATGTGGTACATATGAGATTCATGTACAAAAATACAATTTTCTATATATCAAATTCTCCGATCCTTTATATTTACTGACGAAGGTATCAATAACGTATCTATATAGTAACATAATATGGTGGTTATTTAGTTGGAAAAAAACAAACCTGCAGAATCTTCGGAAACGTCTGAATCCGAATCATCTTCGTTCTTATAATCCTGAACCGAGGGTGGTTGCATTAACTCCATTTTATCACTAATTTATTCCTAATACATAGAGGGCCAAAAACTGGAACAAAGTACTTGATCGTCAAGGATTGTATGTTATGTAAGTAAATTGTTTTTCACACACCATTATTGATAAACCACTTTCTTTAGATATGATTTGAAAAAGATTTTTTTCACTTTTAACATTTTCATTTTTCAGTACATATGGTAGGTCCAGGTGGTTCACTTTATTGCCTTACATATTGAATGAGCCTAACATACTAGTCTCTGTGTACCCTGTATTAATTTTGGCGCGCTAGTTCGGACAACAAGTGAATCCAGCGCTGTGATTGGTCGGGGCTGACATCAGACCGTGACGTACAGGAAAAGAGTCTCGATTCGCGCGGGCTTCTGAGGTCTACACCGCGTGAGAATTCAACTGAGACGGAGGAATTGGTTTAAATTTTGCGGCGGGAAAATAAAAAGACGACATTCAAATTTAAATTCTCAACATTTCTGTTTACTCCTTTTAAACCCGATTCTTTGTCTTTTAATCACACAAATTCGACCCATTCGGTTCATGCATGCTTTGATTAATATTTAGTTTATCTCAAGACAAGATTTGTATAATTTCTTGAGCTTATCAAGTGTTTACTGATAAGTATTTTAGAGTATATTTGTGTACATTAAATTGAATATTATAATTTAATATATTAGAGACACATCGACTGAATCGACCTACCAGTTAACTTATAAACGTTTGACGTTAAACTGCGAAGAAGGTAATAAAAAGTCTTATTTTGTATTTAAAGCAGAATTTATATTATTTTCTAAAAATCATGCACGATATATATAATTTGTTTTAAGAAGTTTAAATTATATTTTTCAATGCTCTATGAAATTAAAGGATTTTTGTTTAATTTTTAAGGGTATATATGACATAGAAAAATAAAAATCAAGTTTTTTTAACTATAATTGAAATGACAATAAAAAATACTAAATATATATTTACTGGTTCTTTCACAACAATGAATAATATATCAGGAGTAAATTTCATAATTTTCAATTTAATCAATAGAAAAACACAATACGCAAAAGATAGGTCTGAAATGGAATCATAACTAGGTTTTTAAACAAAGCTATAATTTTGTTGACTAACTCTGCATGGAATATTTATGATAACGCAAATAGACACGCAAGTTTAGTTAGCTCCATCCATCCCCTATATTTAGAAAAATTGTTGATATTTCATCTTTATTTATCTTGATTAAAAAGTGTTATATATTTAAGGAATCCCTGCAGCTTAAGGGAACATAATTATATATGATTAAAAATGTATATTGAAAAAAGCGTGTACTTTAGTACATGTTTTAATATATACCATGATTAAACATTATTTGTCATGGTATCTAGAAAAGGTAAATTAAAATAAATTAAAATTCTTAAACTTTGGTGAAAAAAATGCGGGAATCTGTTTTTTGTTGTTGTTGTATGAATGTAAAAAAAAATTTATGTCTGAAAAAATTCGCCAAAGAAAAACCAAAATCAACTTAAGAAAAATATACAGAGAAAACATTTCGTTTGAGAACAAAAGAATTAGGCAATCAGAGGCGCAACTAGGACTTTTGCTAGGGGGGGGGGCAATATATTATTTTGTTAGGGTTTGGGGGGGAGGTTAAGGGTTTCCCCCCTTTTTCAGAAATTTTTCAAAAACAAAAGTGCTTTTTTAAGGGTTTGAAGTCGAAAAAAAGGAAATTTTAAGTTGTTGCATGCAGATTTGGCTGTGTTCAATTCAAATCGATTTTTTGTTCTTGTGTTTTTACAAAATTTATACTTCCAACAGCTGTAAAATGAATGATATGAGTCAATTCATTGAATATGTTTGCGAATCGCAAAAAAGTATTTTTTAAGTACCTGGTTTAATTACAGATTAAATTAAGTTTCTGGAAAAAAAACATAAAAATACATAGGTAAATAATAATTTCAATCATCTACATTGAAAAAGGACAGATAATGTTACCTTTTCTCTTGAAGTTATTGAATTAATGATTGATCTAACCAACTTTCATAATCTAAATTCATTTTCGATTTTACAAAGAAGATAAATCTTGTTAGTTATCAAATATGATAATCAGTTAGAAATTTGTCAGGTTCAGAATTTTCTCTAGATTTGGAACTGAGTTTTTGCCACAAACTCAAATATTCTAATCCCTAAATCTTTGCACCGAGTGGTGTAAACATTTGATATTTCAAACTTGGAATATTTTACCATAAGAATTCAAAGTTTGATATCTACGAGTACTCTATAAACTCAACACAAATAAAATACAGTTCAGAACTTTTTTTTACATTAAATGTTTACAATAGCCTTTAGCCTTGAGAATTGAGAAAGATAAAGATATTCTTTTTAAAACTAACTATAGTATAATAAAATTTCTACAATAACTCTATTGGTTTTCTTATTCCTGTGATACTGATTTTCGCCATTCTTTCTTTCTTTTCATTCTGCAGGGGGGGGCGCCCCCCCCCCTCTCAGGTGCTAGGGGAGGGCGCGCGCCCGACCGCCCCCCCCTAGTTGCGCCTCTGTAGGCAATATTAAGTTTGCATTCAAATACAAGTACATTTTCCAATTTTGTTAGTTGATATTATTAATATTTGTATATTTCTAACTATGTAAATCAAATATCATTTAATATTGAAGAACTGTACTTCAACTTGAGAAATCAAAATGGAGAAATAATTTCACATTGTTTATATAACAACAGTTTAAAGAGATTGTTCTCGTATTGAAATCGAAAGTCAAAATTTATAATGGTTCTGGTGATACATATATACAGAGCTGAAACCTTGAGATCTGTGAATTTCGAGATCAATGCTTGATCTCCTTTTTTATTGATCTTCAGACTTCTCACGTGAATATCCGGGAAATTATCTAAACTGTAACCAATCAGAGTTTTGATTGTAGAAACAAAACAGCCAATCAGAATCCAAGAAATTTCTTAATTTTGGCGCGTAAACAATGAGAGAACTCTCATTGTTCTGAAAAAAGCAGTGATATCCAAAAGAAAGAGAGGATATTAAGCAGAAAGCCAAAAGTGTCGACAGTGGATACATGCAGAATGCAGATTTAGTAATCAGGATCAGGGGTATCCAATACAAGACTTTTCAGCTCAGAGCAAAAAAATTTTCTTTCCGAAATATCGGATAGAAATAACATTATATTAATGTTCATTATAATTTCAACCTTTTTTATATGAACACTCCCCTTAAACCAAACCACTTAAACCAAACCAATCATTGAATCATATTTACCACTGCGGAAAGGACAAATCTTGTAAAATGGAATTACCGGCCACAAGGGATGATACTGAAATGACGTCTTGAGAAATGACGATTTTACGGTTAAAGTCTTTTTTTTAACGATTTGGTAAAGAATGAAACGAGTTTTCAGTTGCAGGGAATCATGAATATAAGGAAACAGACAGTGTAAATTCCGTACAGTCGTCTCCGATCAATTAATTTATATTTGAACAATACTTTGTTCCCAACACCAAAAAGTACACTAAAACCCCTCAATTAAAATGTACGCAAATTTTGTACAGTAATCTTTGAAAGAAATGTAAACAAATTCAGTGCCATTGCAACTCAAGGCAACCTGTGAAAGGGAAGGATCGAGACTGTCAAAAATGCAGTCGTTTACTGAAGCTTTTGTCGTGACAGTAATTGAACCCAATTTAGTAAAGTCAGTGAAAGCCCAAAGAAATTGAGTCTTTGCCACAAACTCTCATTTTCTAATCCCATTATCTTTGCTGCACAATGTCGTAGACCTTAGATATTTCAATTTATGAAACCTTCCTCCGAAGATTTAAAATTTTCCTGCAAAGGTTTGAACCAACGAGCTTGAACTCTTCCTTCCATTGTTAGAATAATGCCTTTGTGATATATGTTATCGGTCCCTAATGAAGCTGTATATTCGATCTCCTCTGCATGTCCCGGCTGGTTATGAGTCGGGACAATAAAAGTGGTCTCAAATCTGGAATAATCTTTTTGTAATTTTGTATTAAGCATTTGAAAAGTGAATATACAATTTAAAAATTTTATTCTAAATGTAACTCAACAAGATGTCTATTTTGATATTTGCTAAATAAAATGTGTTTTTTTTTCTTCAAATTTCTTATGTTGTATGCAAACAATTTTTTTTCTGTAGCAGTCATGGGTTCGGTAAATATATAGAAGAACTTTTTATTTTAGTTGACTAAAAATACAAAGGAGTGCCTATAAACCATATAACAGTTTTATATCCAATGTTTTCTAATAGAGAATAAATTTGCTTTAAATGTGGAACAATTTAATATCTTAAAGTTGTATTTCTTCCTCCAAAGATTCAAAGTCCTTCTTCCCAAGAATTGTATCCTTCCTCCCAATGATTGTACTCTTCCTCCCAAGAAGTGTGTCCTTCTTCCCAATGATTTTATTCTTCCTCCCTAGAAGTGTATCCCTACTCCCAATGATTTTATTCTTCCTCCCAAGAAGTGTATCTTTCTTCCCAAAGGTTGTATCCTCCGTCCCAAGAAGTATATCCTTCTTCCCAATAATTGTATCCTTCCTCCAAAGCAGTTTATTCCCCTCCCAATGTATCCTTTCTTCCAAAGAGTGTATCTCCCCCTCCACCCCTAAATGTATCTACCAAGGATTGTATCCTTTCTCCTTCGGACTGCATCCTTTCTCCCGAGGTTTGTACCCTTTCTCCCTCGTAATGAATCCTACCTCCCAAGTAGTATCCTTCCTCCCACGTATTGTGTCCTTTCTCCCAAGGTTTATATCCTTCCTCCCAAGTATTGTATTCTTCTTTTCTAAGTTTGTATCCTTACTTTAACGATTTGAATCCATTCTCCCAAAGTTTTTACCCTTTTCCCATAGGTTTTATCCTTCCTGTCACGGTTTGAAGGTGTGAAGGTTTGAATCCTTCCTTCTGTGGTTTGAATCATTCCTTCTGTGGTTTGAAATCTCTCCTCCCAAGGGTTGTATCCTTTCTACCGAAGTTTGTATCTTTTCTTTCCAGATTAGAATCCTTTCTTCCAAAGGTTTTATCCTTCCTCCAAAGGTTTGTATTTTTCCTCGAAAGGATTGTATCCTTAATTCCGGAGGTTTGTAATCTTCTTCCAAAGGTTTGTATCCCTCCTCCCAAGATGTGTATCCTTCCTTCCGAGATTTGTATCCTTTCTTCCGAGGTTTGTATCCTTCCTCCCAAGGTTTGTATTCTTCAGGTTCGAATCCTTTCTTCTAAATTTTTTATCCTTAGTATTTTCCAAGATTTTTA